AGTTACGAGGTCCTACGTACGGGAGTAGTCAGTTAAAACTGTGTAGGCCGATAATTCAGAACAGCTAGTTTACACGTATAAAGACAAATTTTATTGCAGCCTACATTAGAAAGAGCAATTATCAATTGAGAAGTGTATAGGCCTAGTCAATGATATCACCTTCCATCGCATACCTGCCTCTTCCATAATCAATATCCCCACAATACAATTACTCATACTATACACAATTTCCAGTAGGTCAGAATTGAAACTCCCTAAAATAAAACGAAAACATCCAATAAAATTCACAGTACTAATAATTATAACGTTGATGTCCTGACATCATTAAACGAATCGTCCACGCACATCCTTTATGTCAATTTCACTGCATCAATTGCTAAATAAACTAGGTGGCGTTCACAGAGGCGTCCACAAAATTGAGCGGAGTCATCAAGGGTTCATATTATATTATTTTTGTAATACTGCAGTAAAAACAGTCGTATGTAGCAGTAAAAGTAGCATTTTTACTCTTTAGGGAGTAAAAATCGTTTTTAGCCTCTATGGAGTAAAAATAAGCTGTTATCAACTCAGTTGTAAATGTCTATTGTAATTGTAAACGATTGCATGTATCGAAATATGTATCGATTCGTGCTTCGTAGTCATTTTAACCTACAGTCTACAGTCTCTTCCCATGGCATTTTAGAATTGCAGATAAATTAATCCATTCCCACACTCAACACTGCTCACCTTTACTACTTCCTTCACCAACCCCTTTGTCGTGGACATGTTTCCCTCTCTTCCCATAGCCTTTAAGGATTGCAGATACATTAATGTAATTGCCAATGACAGTTCCCACACTCTGCACTGCCAGCCTTACTACCGGTACTTTCTTCGCCATTTCCTACGTCATAGAACTGTTTCCTTCCCTTCTCATAGCATTTTAGGATTGAAGATACATTAATCTAACTGCCACAGATGGTTCTCACACTATGCTCATACTTAACTATTTCCTAAGCCACTTCCTACATCGTGTACCTGTTTTCACCACTTTCCATAGCATTTTAGTATTTTAGCTACGTTCATCTAATTGCCACAAACATTGACCACACTCCGCACTGCTAGCATTTACTACTTCTTTCACCATTTTCTATATCGTGGACATGTTTCCATCCCTTCTCATAGCATTTCAGCATTCAACTGCTACAAACGGTTTCCAGTTCCCAAATACCACAATGCTCACCTTTAGTACTTCCTTCTCCTCTTCTTACGTTGCGGACCTGTTTCCCTCTCTTTCCATAGAATTTTAAGATTGTAGATACCTTAATCTAATCGTCATAAACAGTTCCCACACTCCTGACAGCTCGCCTTAACCTGTTTCCCTCCCTTTCGATAGCATTTTGTGATTGCAGATACCTTTTTCTAATCGTCATAAACAGTTCCCACACTCCAGACAGCTCGCCTTTACTATTTCCTTCACCTACGTCAGGGACCTGTTTCCCTCCATTGCCATAGCATCATAGGATTGCAAATACCTTAATCTAATGGTCATAAACAGATCCCATACTCCGAACAGCTCATCTTTACTGCTTCGTTCACCACTTTCTACGTCGTGGACCCGTTTCCTTCCCTTCCAATAGCATTTTAGGATTGCAGATACCTTAATATAATCGTCATAAACAGTTCCCACACTACAAACAGCTCGCCTTGACTACTTCCTTCACCACTTCCTACGTCGCGGACCCGTTTTCCCATACAGTTTTAGGAACGCAGATACCTAAATCTAATCGTCATAAACAGAGTCCACACTACAGACTGCTCACCTTTACTACTTCCTTCACCCCTTCCTACGTCACGGACCTTAAACTCAGGGCTATTTCAAGCTAGTGTCGCCATTTGATTATATTTACGATCCATGCCATTTCTGTCCTAATATATGTGGAATAATGCTATCAGCTATTTCTTTATCTACTGCATTCAAAAGTCAACAGCTGATCATATGACCTTGTTTATATGTCAAATATTGTTTCCATAAGGATTACATTGAAACTTTGAGACCCAGTGGGGCGGATTCCTGAGAGACTTTTTTAACGCCATATAGATGTTGGCACTCACCGATATGGTCTTTATCACCGTGCAAAATTTGAAAACGTTTGATTCAGCCGTCTATGAGGAGTTTGCGTATTACTAAATGCATGAGTCGAAGTATAAGAGCTTCGCTCGCTCCGCTCAATAAATGTAAACAAAGAAAATTTAAACTAGGTGGCGTTCGCAGAGGCATCCACAAAATTGAGCGGAGTCATCAAGGGTTCATATTATATTGTTTTTGTCATACTGCATTAAAAACAGTCGTTTTAATGCATGCGTTGCGGGTTTAAAGAAGCATTTTTACTCTTTAGGGAGTAAAAAACGTTTTTAGCCTCTGTGGAGTAAAAATCGGCGGTTGTCAACTCAGTTGCAAATTTCTATTGTAAACGATTGCATGTATCGAAATAAGTATCGATTCGTGCTTCGTAATCATTTTAACCTACAGTCTACAGTCTCTTCCCATAGCATTTTAGCATTGCAGATACATTAATCCATTCCCACACTCAACACTACTCATCTTTACTACTTCCATCACCACCCCCTACGCCACCCCCTACGTCGTGGACCTGTTTACCTCTCTTCCCATAGCATTTTAGGATTGAAAATACATTAATGTAATTGCCAAAGACAGTTCCCACACTCTGCACTGCAAGCCTTACTACTTCCTTCACCATTTCCAACGTCATAGACCTGTTTCCTTCCCATCTCATAGCAAAAGTATTAGATACATTTATGTAACTGCCCAAACGGTTCCCCCATTCTGCACTTCCAGCCATTACTACTTCCTTCACCACTTCCTACGTCGTGGGGCCTGTTTCCTTCCCTTCTCATAGCATTTTAGGATTGAAGATACATTAATCTAACTTCCACAGACGGTTCTCACACTATGCTCATACTTTACTACTTCCTAAGCCACTTCCTACATCGTGGACCTGTTTTCATCGCTTTCCATAGCATTTTAGTATTTTAGATACGTTAATCTAATTGCCACAAACATTCCCCACACCCCACACTGCTAGCCTTTACTACTTCTTTCACCATTTTCTATGTTTGGGCATGCTTCCATCCCTTCTCATAGCATTTCAGCATTGCAGATACATTAATCTAACTGCTACAAACGGTTTCCAGTTACCATACACTCCACACTGCTCACCATACTACTTCCTTAACCTCTTCTTACGTCGTGGACCTGTTTACATCTCTTTCCATAGAGTTTTAAGATTTTTGATACCTTAATCTAATCGTCATAAACAGTTCCCACACTCCAAACAGCTCGCCTTGATTACTTCCTTCACCACTTCCTACGTCTCGGACCTGTTTCCCTCCCTTCCCATAGCATTTTAGGATTGCAGATCCCTTAATCTAATCGTCATAAACAGTTCCCACACTACGGACTGCTCGCATTTACCACTTCATTCACCACTTCCTACGTCTCGGACCTGTTTCCCTCCCTTCCCATAGCATTTAAGGATTACAGATCCCTTAATCTAATCGTCATAAACAGTTCCCACACTACGGACTGCTCGCCTTTACTACTTCCTTCACCACTTCCTACGCCACGGACCTGTTTACCTCCCTTCCCTTAGCATTATTTGATTGCAAATACCTTAATCTATTGGTCATAAACAGATACCAAACTCCGAACAACTCGCCTTTACTACTTCCTTCACCACTTCTTTACGTCACGGACCTGTTTCCCTCCCTTTCCATAGCATTTTAGGATTGCAGATACCTTAATCTAATCGCCATAAACAGTTCCCACACTTCGCACAGCTCGCCTTGACTACTTCCTTCACCACTTCCTACATCGTGGACCTGTTTTCCTCCCTTCCCATAGCATTTTAGGATTGTAGATACCTTAATCTAATCGTCATAAACAGTTCCCACACTTCGCACAGCTCGCCTTGACTACTTCCTTCACCACTTCCTACATCGCGGACCTGTTTTCCTCCCTTCCCATAGCATTTTAGGATTGTAGATACCATAATCTAATCGTCAAAAACAGTTCCCACAGTCCGGACTCCTTGCCTTTACTACTTCCCTCACCACTTCCTACATCACGGACCTGTTTCCCTACCTTCCCATAGCAGCATCATAGGATTGCAGATACCTTAATCTAATCGACATAAACAGTTCCCACACTCCGGATAGCTCACCTTTACTACTTCCTCCACCACTTCCTACGTCGCGGACCTGTTTCCTTCCCTTCCAATAACATTTTAGGATTGCAGATACCTTAATCTAATCGTCATAAACAGATTCCACACTCCAGACTGCTCACCTTTACTACTTCCTTCACCACTTCCTACGTCAAGGACGTCAAGCTAGTGTCGTCACTTAAATATACCCTATTTATGATCCATACCGTTGCTGTTCTAATATCTGTGGAATAATGCCATCAGCTATTTCTTTATCTACTGCATTCAAAAGTCAACAGCTGATCATATGTCTTTGTTTATGAGTAGTAGGGAAAAGCCGGTTCTGGATCAACCCCGACAGACCAGCGATTCTCATCTGTTTACTCTTCCACTCATCGAAAAGCCGTTTCTAGACCAGCCCCCAGTAGACTGGAGATTTGCCCATTTTCAAGCCCCCTCCCCTCCAGCCAGTAGAGTATATATGTTTGTCCTACTCCGGGATCCAATATAGACCCTTATGGGAGTCAACATCGGGAGGTAACGATGACCGATTACAACTTTTACCAGTAGTATATATATCTGTGTCCTACTCCCGGAGTTTATATGGGCTCTTATGGGAATACCTCCCCACAAAATCCGGAGGTGTTCTCCAACCCCCCACATGGAGTATGTATGTTTGTCCTGTGCTGGGGTTTAATATAGACCTTATGGAGACAAATTCAACCCTTGCCTCATTCCTCTGGGGCAAAAATAATATATTTTTTTTTTATTTTCTTACAACGATCTCCTAGAAATTGTTTACAGTTGTCTAATGATGTTTCTTGAAATGTCATAACTGAATCCAGTTTCAGAGACCACGACTACGTATGCTGTTGTTCCGGCATCGGCTTGCGCAGTCGCGATAGCATTTACGAAATCTAACTCAATCTGGATGTCACTTCTCGAGCGATCTGTGCTCATTGGGTGGAGATGAGTGTCTATCACCAACAGTGGATAATCATTCTTGAACTCTGAAGGAGATACGAACACATTGGTGTCTCCAAAGTTCACCAGACGATATCTGACCAACTGTTCGTATAACAGTCTCCATTTGCCTTCAGTGATGTGTATGTTCTGCATTTCTTGAGGATAACGTTCTCCGTTTATTTTCACTGCGACATTTTTTATGTTGCAACTATCAAAACGGGAGGGAATTTTCTTCTGGTCATTCCAACGGCTAGTTTGCAACCCCACAATGACAAATTTCGGGTTGTATACATTTCTATAAACGTTAGTGATATCGAAGTTGAATGAGGCCCCGAAAACACCTTTCTTTTCAATACACTGCCACTGGTAATAGTTGTATACCAATTTGCTATGATCACTCAAACGGGTCAACCCATCGATCAATTGAATCTTGCTGGTGGCCGTATACTCGACTAACGGAACTCGAAGAACGAAAGATTTGATTTCGACTTTTCCGTCCTCTGGTATTGTATCTGTTGCGGCTGATCCTTTCCAAACAAATAGTGCATCGTTATCTTCAGCACGGGTGAATACGACTTCGAATCCGCCTTTGTACATAGGATACCGTAGATGATCGAAGAAGCCGAGACCGAGGTGTGCAAGGGTACCGATTACTTCGAAGTTGCCTCCACCAGTGAACGTGGATACGAAACCACAGTTTGCTAAAGAGTTCTTGTTCGAACTGGAATAGTTGAGGATTCCCTTGACCGTGCTTGTGACACCAGGATAGTCGACAGTGTCGATTGTGGTGTTGTGTTTCTTGAGTTCAATTCGAGTAAACAGAAACGGTACGAAATTGTCTATGAGTTTGATGTTTGTTTTATCGGCATAAGCAGCCCCGTCAGATTTCTTGATGACTTTACCACAAATGTGAAATTGTATTCCTGAATCGTAAAACGTGTCACCGTGATCGAGTTTAAAAACCGTGTAATTATTTGGAGTGTTGAAATTGAGTTCAGACACCGGCATGATAGAGCGGTATTCGCTCTTCACCACACCGCTTGAAAACTGATTGTATGTAGCATCCATTTGTGTTGGTTACTTAATAAAGGGTGAAAAAAATATACTATGTTAACATTACGATTTTACTCTTTAGGCCTCATGCTCAGTAGCGAACTCAAGAGCCGTGTATTAAATCCGTGATTACGTTCGTGTTCTTGGAGGAATTCCTTGGACACGTTTTGATACTTTATGATGTAGTACCAATCTACGTTGCCTGCAAAATCGTGTATGAATGATTCAGACAGTGTTTGATATTTGCTGACCACATACCAGCACTCGTTAAAGTTGATAGCCATTTCCCGGAGGAAGCTCTCATCGAACTTTGTCCTCTTCAGTATGGCATACCAGTTTACGCGATGGAAATACGTGCGTAACATGTCGATGCTGAAATCGTAGTTTTCGGATAGGAGACCCCAGTCGAGCTCCTTAGCGTACTTCATAACGAACTCGTCTGTGAGAACGCCCTTAGGTGCTTTTGCTTCCTGAGAAAGAATCGTCCATGCGTTTTCCATGTTGTACTCTTTCTCCCACTTATATACATACAGACGTTCCTAGCCCGAAACCGAGTTTGCGCTTCATCCACATTGCACCAGTCGTACCGAGTGCGACAGCGCGTTCGTTTAGATCGGCGTCAGAAGACGTGACCCTATTCCAAGCAGCGTCTTGCAATTTCTTATCTGCCACCCATCGGTCTTCGGCATGCCTATGATCCCGATACCATATGTCATGTTTCTTGCACGCCTCGTCTAAGGGGTTGACTCCTTTGTCACCACGAGCCAGGCGATCAGATAGCTTCGTACCAGGTCCGCAATAATTGTACGTATCAAGATTCCAATTACGTGGAGCATGCAGCTCAAACGGTAAACTGTTGATTAAGTTGTTCAACAACCCCGAACCTTGAATAGCGTGTTCAGGTAACGCTGACAGACAGCGTATGAGATACTTCAATCCGTTTGGTCGTTCGATTAGCTCCTGCATGCGGTCGTATATGAATTTCACGACTGACAGTTTCTCGTTGTGAAAGTTATTGTTTCCAGCAGCCTCCTCAGCGTGTATGAAATTGAGTCGACTGATCAATTCGTTTAAATCCTTTATGTACCGATATTCGATTGGTGTTTTGTCATCGTACCGTTTCAACCCAGACCCAACTGTCTCTGTGGGTGTTAATGTAGTTGGGGTTGTGGATTTATTCATCTCATCCCAAATGGGTTTGATCATCTGTTTCCACTTTTGACCCTGACTTGATTTCGGTCGTCTAGTCGAGGGATCGTTCTTTTTATACAACGAGTTGGATGTCAACAGAATGTCTTTGTATGAATTCCAATCGTCAGATGTGTACTCATCAGACTTAACAAAACCTTTATTCGTCAAGAGTTTCCAAAGACCTTCACTGCCGACAAAACTTTTACCTGACATCACTATATCATCGTAATTAAAGGTGATTGGTTCTGATCCAATTTTCAAGCGTTCACTCGTCACATCATAATAAATACCAAACTGTGAATCGCTTGCACGGGGTAAGTATCTCGCACCAACACTGCCCAAATTGATTACATTTGAGTCCACCAACTGTCTGATTGATTTGTTCTGAACGTTTTCAGTTTCCACTTCATCTTCGTTATCGAAGGGAATTTGTTTACGATCTGGTGTACTGTATACTCTTGGTCTAAAGCGAGCAACCATTTGATTGTATTTTTGCTTTTTCAACCACTCCTTTGTCTTTTGTTCTAATAGATCATCTTTTTCTTTTTTCTCTTTTATTGCATCGGTAATGGTTTGATATTTCTTTTCCCTTTCTCGTTGTTCCTCTCTTTCTAAAATGTGTACGTTAGCAAATTGTTGTTGAAGTCTATTTTTTACATTTTCTAGTTGCTTTGCCTTGGTGACAGTCAACGGTTGTTTTTGGACATCTCTTGTAATGATTGTGGTGGATGGACTTTTTGTTGGAGACGATACAACTGATATCTCTTTAAGTTTTTGTTCACGTTGTTTTTGCTCTTCCAATTCAGCGTCATGAAACTTTTTCATCAGGTTACTCTCGATAGCTTCAAGTCGCTTAGCAGCTTTTGCATCCATCATAGCCTGCATTCACTTATATTATACAACGTCAGAAAAAAACGACATATATCGTTTCTAGTATAAAATTGACATATCGTCGAAAAACGACATTTTAATCAAAAAACGTGATATAACGTTTCTAGTCTAAAAACGACATATCGATCGAAAAACGACATTTCAATCAAAAAACGTGATATAACGTTTCTAGTATAAAAACGACATATCCATCAAAAAACGTGATATAACGTTTCTAGTATAAAAACGACATTTCAATCAAAAAACGTGATATATCGTTTCTAGCTTAAGATGTGACATTTCTCATTGACGTTGTAAATATAGTTTTCTTCAGCATGCATTTATATTTTCCAGAGTGTGCTTTTTTAGTGGTATTGATGGTTACAAATCCATGTTGTTCCTGCCAACACCGACGACAGAGCTTTTCAAACTCAGATAACGACATATCGGAACTGACAAAATCCTCATGAATACGTGTCAAGTAATGCTTGTTCTGTTGAAACACACACAGCAGATTTAGGTTGTTACGGATTACTTGCATATCGACACGACCATAGCTCTGACTCAGGTATATACATGATATATTTTTGTGACGACCTCTGATGTAATAGTCTTTGATTTTTGATTGCTCATCAAGTAAACAGTCATCAAACACAACCAGTGAATTTGGTTTGCATTCATCCAATGGAACCAAGTCGGAACAATCAGAGAAGAAGAATGCTATTTTGCAACCGAGGTTTTTCTGAACTCTTTCATAGTGCTTTTTTAAATCAAGATATGCTGGTTGTTCTATTGATCGACTGAACACGTAGAGATGTTTAAAAGCTATACCATCTTTGTTGTATATGAGGTTAAGCAGTAAATTGGTTTTTCCACATCCTGATGGACCAACGATCAAGCAACGAAGTGGTTTTGGGAAAATGCCACCCTCCGCCCTTTCACCATCTCTACAGTAGACGTTTATTTCCATTGTCTTTACTTATAACACCACTTTGTCTTCATAGGAAACTCCTTGACAGCCTAATGTCTCGATCTGTTGATTTAAACAGCAAGTGTGTTTGCGTCAGTCGTACTGATCATAGTCTCGACTCTGTGTAGACGTTTAGATAGCTCTGAGAATTCAACTCCGTTAATGGCGTCATATGCACTGTTGCTGCGACTGATGCCACATATCTTTCTACCTCCTTTGATCTGAATACAGTCATTTGTGACTTCAAGACCTTTTAAAATACCATCAACTTTATCATTTACTTCTTCAAGCTGTTCTTTAACAACCACATCAGCCTTATCTATAGCTTTTGCAACTTTTACTATCCTTTTGTTCTTGGCACTAATATAATGTTTCTCGAACCCGACTTGTTTGTTTACAATGGAGGCTAGATCCTTTTTTGCCTTATTAAACAAGTTATCTACCTGAGAAATAAATTCTCTTTTCATGTTACTGATCTTTGAATCTGTATCGTGGTTGCAAGTGAATTCCAACGATGAAAGTTTTTCATTTAACTTATCTGTTGAAATGCTATTTTGGTTAGTACTGCTGTCAGCCAGTTCTTCTCCGAACCGATTGAATTTAAATATATACATCATGATGCTCTTATAATGATACCAAGTCCAAGTACACCAGGTTTTCAACATTACTATTGAGTATCGGGTTGTTATCTTGATCAAGTATGTTGATTGTTATGCAGTGAACTGTCCTCAACCCAGGTTTCAAATCAACATATAACCTTTCCTTTGGTTGTTCAGATATCTTATACCCATGTGGAACTTGAGGGAAGAACGTGTATAGCAGTTCAGTTTCCGCATGTTTGTGATCATGTATGTCGTGGTTGACGAGACTGTTGTGCACTATATTGCAGTGTATCTCGATGGTATCTACTGCCCTCAACTTTGGAGGTCTTGTTCCTGTCACTGTTTGGTTCTCAATGTGGTATAAGCTACTGTCGGCTCTCTTCTGTTTTTCTTTTGTTGGAGGATCAAAACCAAACAACTTGCAGCACGCTGGATCCATATAGAACTTCAATGGCGAGTACACAGAAAGAAAATCACCATTTTTACTCAGTCTAAATTTAGTAGGATCAACGTTTAAGCTCAAGGATTTTATGTAGTCCTTCGCAGTAGCTTCCATAGACTCGATTGTCCAGTAACCTCTTGTGAAAGTGAGACGATTCGGTATTACATGAACGTCACTATCCAAGAAGAAAATATTTGCTTCATCACGGACGTTATAAATATTGTTGTCTGTAAAGAACGCAACAAGTGCCATACGATGCTTCATGTTCTCTTCCAGATGGATTGGGTGTTCCAAGTGGAGAGTGACGCGAGAGCTTATACCTCTAAGTTTTAATAGTGGCATGGTACACTTATAATTTGCCCCACCAAGATTGCCATGAGTATTTGTCATCTCTTAAAGTGTTTATGATCGTGTTCCAATTGGTATCATCGTTTGAACATCGCTTCAGAACTTCAAGGCAGAGATGACCGCAAATAGGAGGGTCTTCAAACTCCTGTACTCGCATATCATTATAAAGCAAATCACGCTCGCCTAAATACTTCACAAGTTCAATTGGTGGTGGAGCGTTGCCAAATGAATCGAAATACAGCTTTTTACCATTATGCATTTTGATATAACAGGTCCAGTGTGTACCATTCGAGTCCAAGTCACCGAGATTCAAAATACCACATTCCATTTCCCATGGGGATTCTGGCAAAACTTCACGCATGAAAACACCTCGAAATCCTTTCAATCCCAACACTTTGGCCCATCGTTCGAGGTCACCAAGCGTTAAGGGGTTTATCCGTTTTTTTGTAATAGTAAAGCATCCAATTTCCTGTTGATACATCTTTTCAAACCAGCGCCCTTGGGATCCTTGTCTATTATCGTGTCCAACTCATTGTCAATCAAATGCTTCAACCATGGAATGAACCTTTCCTTCAGCATCGGTGCTAGGTGTCTTCTGACAACAGGTGAGATGAAACGTTTTCCACCAGGAACGGCACCCTCCACAAATTCCAACACTTCTTTCAGCAGGCCTCCCTGTTTATTTTTCAATAGCTGGTCGTAGCTGAGGTTCAGCCGAATGCCTGTTTGGTTTCGTCTAGCTTTCTCAATAGCCTTATGCTGGACACTGTCTAACAGGATATGGTCCGTTCCACTACGACCTATGTCGTCACTCGTCAGTCCAATTATAGCACTTCTCCGTTTCTTATAGGCGATACGAAGCTTACGTTTCTGCCCTTCAGACAGACGAATGGTGTGCCTGTGCAATTCACTCATGTTGTGCTTATATCACTATAAGTACTCTTATTATAAGCTCGAAATGGTATATGTATTTTATTGTGCCAAGTGTAAAAGGAAAACCGCTTCGGCTGATGTGGAACGTATCAAGACGGTTAACAACAAGTGGCGGTTAAGAGGCCGGTGTGTTGAATGCTTACG